TATATAATATATTTTATTGTTTTATTGTATTGTATTTATGTTTAAGCAAGGAAAGAAAGCATTGTGGCAGAGATTTTTTTACCAAGTATTAATATTTAATAGGCAGAAGTTTTTTTGGTTTTTAAGTCGAAAAATTCTATCTCAATTTTTCTTAAAACCCTTGATGATTAGGAAATTAATGAGTTTTTTTGCTTAAAATTCAATTGACCTATTTCAATTTACATTTTTGTTTTTTTAGAATGGTTAAAATAAGTATTAATTTGCTTTAATTTTAATATCTCATGGAGCAGCCAAAAGAAAAAAAATTGTATTCTTATTTAATTTCTGTCGCTTATGATGGAAGTAATTTCGCTGGCTGAGCCATCCAACCCACGAAATTCACAGTTCAAGGTTATATTAAAAATATTCTCAGCAAAATATTTAGAAAAAAAATTAGTATTTTAGCCGCCAGCCGCACCGATAAAGGAGTTCATGCCCGCGGACAAAAATTTACTTTGCGGCTCGATTTGCTTTTTTCCCAAGCGAGATTGTTTAGTTTATTAAAAAAAGTGCTTAGTAAATATGTTCTAGTTAAAAAGGTTCAAAAAGTAGAGGACAGTTTTCACCCTATTCGCCAAGTTCTCCGTAAAGAATACCGCTATTTTATTAATGTTGGTAAATACGATATCTTTCAAAAGAATTATCGCTGAGAGTATAATTTACCGCTTGAAGTTAAAAAATTAAACCGTCTTCTCCACCTTTTTCAAGGCCAACACAATTTTTTTAATTATGCTTATTGTCGTTGGCAAGAACGGGAAAAAGTAAATACCGAACGAGAAATTACCTCTTTAAAGTGTTGAAAAAGAAAGAGTGTTATTACTATTAGAATTATTGCCAAAAGTTTTTTGCGCTACCAAATTCGAGCCATAGTCGGAGAGGTTATTAATGGTTATGAAGGAAAACAAACTATTAGCAATTTAAAAGCAAAATTAACTAATTATAATCAAAAAAATTATAAGTATAAAAATATTGCTCCTGCGGCTGGTTTGTATTTATGAAAAATTGATTATCAGAAAGGAACTAATTAAAGTTTATGTTTACAAATAACAAAAATTAATGAATGCTATGTAATTTGTGAAAAAAACATTGCTCTCAAAGTATTCGGTGGAGTAAAAAACTTAAATTAGGAAAGAGAGGAAAAAAATTTTTTAAGAAAGGCATTTCAATTTTAAACCAGCCTTGGATTAATTTTTCTATTTTTTCCTTTTCTTTACTAGCGATTATTAATATTCGCCATGTTTTTTAAACTGTAATTTTGAGTAAGGATTGCGATAGAAAATTTTCACAAAACATTGTTGGTCATTCTCTTGAAAACTACCAATTTTACCTATCACTTCGGGTTGTCAAGGAATATACACTGAGACACTAATCACTTGTTCTTCAAGATAAACAATAAAAAGGACAGTTCCTTGGTTAACTTGGTCTCCCGCTTGGACTTCACATTGCAGTATTTTATCAAGGGGCATGGGGTTTTTTCGGTCAATTTGAATATTTATTATTATTTGTACTCCTTCTTGATTAGTAATTTGAATAGCATAATTAGGATAAATTTTGCTAATAACTCCTTTAAGCGGGCTTCTGATTTTCCAACTCTTTAAATCACAAAAATAGTAGGCTTTTCCAACCAATGATTTTTCATTTTTTTTATGAATTCGACATCTAATGGGTGGAACGAGTTTTACCGATCGCCAACCAATTAGCCAAAGAAAAAATTTTTTCAATTTCGCTCAATCAATTTTGAACTTCATATAAAAATTTTAAGAAATTGGTAAGCAAAGGGACAAAGTAGTTAAAAAGAGGTTTTTTTGCTGTTAAGAGAGAAGATTTTTTGACCGATGGCATTATTAACGAAAAAAGGCTTTTTTGAGCAAGATAAGAAAAAGTTAAGAGTTTGAGGTATCACCAAAGGTTATTATTTATCTTTTTTTACCTTCTTTGAGGAGGGTAGTTTTAATTCGGAGTTGTGTTTCGTTGCGTTCGGGTTTATAAGTAGAAAGAAATAGTGTATTAAAAACAACTACCTCGGAGAAATTCACTAATAAATTTTAATATATAAGTTCAATGTTGTGAAAACCTTACCGTCTACGAAAAGATTGACAATTTCGAGACATAATTGTGGAGGAAGGACAGAAACTAGTTAACCCCAGTTTTACTATTTTTTTTGCTACTAATAACCATGGTAATTGCCGGTTTGGTATTAGTGCACCTACAAAACTAGTTAAACTAGCCACCGACCGTAATTTTTATAAGCGGCAAGTGAGAGAAATGCTAATATCTCACTTAAAGTCTAACTTAAAAAAAACCGCAGACAGTTGCCAAACCGACCCTGAGCATTCCCATTCCGATTTGGTTATCATTATTCGTTATCCTTACCTGAAAAATGATTTTACTACTAACCAAACAAATCTTTATAAGTTGCTCGACTTAGTTGACCGAATGAAAAAAAAGCCCAAGGAAAAGGTTAATTTTCGAGAAAAAAATACCAAAATCCCCCACTAGGCAATTAAAATCATAAATAAAACTAAATTAGAATGCTTAATTAAGTAAAGTATCTATAATGGGTTGATAAGTTCAATCACCAAATTTTATAAAATAATATTTGATGACTAACCAGTAGCAAAAAGTTGAATAAGATTCTTGTTTATCTACTAACTTATATTCTAGATAATAAGCGAGTAAAAAATGACTTCACACTTTCACCGAAATTAATCAATAAGTAATTGGTAAACGGCCACTAATTGTTTTTAATAAAAGTGGCAAAACAAAATTAAAAATACTAAATATTTAATAAAAAAGAGTAAAATATGGCTTTATGAGAAGGTAAAATTCCTAAATGAATTGCTTGGATTTTCGCCTTTCTGGTGTTCCTGCTTATAATTTATCACTGCTATTACATTTATAAGGTATTTACTGCTAAATGTCAGGTTTGTGGTGAGAAAATAAGAGGTCAGTGGGGGAGGAAAATGGTTTATGTTTATACTCCTTGAAGAAAGTTAAAGTTTATTTGTTTAGGTTGTCAAAAAAAAAAAAACAAAGAATGCTTAAAGCATATGAAAGACCAAAATATTATAATTCCCAAAGAAAATAATCTCTCTGACTATTTTTACCAAAGAGTGTATTGAGAGAAAAAGTGATTCAAACACTTTCGGCAAATTGTCTTAAATGGTTTTCCTTTATGGCAAATTATGTTAGCAATTTTGTTGTGCCTCTGATGAAAAGAAATGACAGAAAAAGTGAGTTGGACAAAGGGATTTTTGCTGTTTTCGCTGATGAGTGTGGCAGTAGTCAATATAGTTCTAACTTATTACCACTGAAAGCAATTATCAAAATGTTCGCGGATGATTGCCAAAATAGATCAAAAAATTGCTGAAAAACTATCTAAATCTAACTTCTAGAAAAGGGGGTGTATACCCCCTAATAATTAAGATTAAAAACTTGAATTACTAGTGTAAAAAATACATAAAGTAGAAATTTTTCGTTTATCTTTTTTTAATAATAACTACATAAACGGCCACCGCCAGCGACATTATTACATAAACCATGCTAACTACAAATATCAATGCCTTTAAAAATTCATTTTTAACTCCACTCATTAATTTAAAACAATTATAGAGTGCAAAAAAAGGAGTGGTAAAAGGAATAAAAAAACTTCCGAAGAAATCGTGAATTCCTTTAGCAAATCTGTCTACTCAACTAATATTATTTTTATCCATATTTATTAATTTTAATTTAATTCATCATATAATATATCAAAACATACCAAATTATTACCCATTTTTTTAAAATAATAGATTATAGAATAATTAAAAAAAGGATAAGAAGCAGTTAATTAAAAGAGTGAGGGAAGATTATTAAAGAGTAAAATTATTTTCAATAAAATTTTAATTATAATAAAAATTAGGAAAAATATAAAAAGACCTTCCTTAATAAATATTTTTGGTCAACTTTTCTAAAAAATCAAAATAGAAACCCTTACTCTTTAAAAAATTAATAATATATGTCCGAAGACGAAAAGAAGTTATCTAAAATTCGCAATATCGGCATCATGGCTCACATTGATGCTGGCAAAACTACTACTACTGAACGAATACTTTACCATTGCAAAAAAATCTGGAAAATCGGTGAAGTTCATGACAAGGAAGGGAAGGGGGCAACCATGGATTACATGGAACAAGAGAAGAAGAGAGGAATCACTATCCAATCAGCCGCCACTACCGTTTATTGAAAAGAGCACCAAATAAATATTATTGACACTCCCGGACACGTTGATTTTACTGCCGAAGTAGAAAGGTCTTTGCGGATTTTGGATGGCGGAATAGTCGTAATGGATGGCAAAAAAGGGGTCGAAGCTCAAACGGAAACGGTTTGACGTCAAGCCAAAAAATATAGAGTTCCTCGGATAATTTTTATTAATAAAATGGATGGAGTGGAAAATGAGGAAAAATTTACTGATAACTTAAAAAGTATTCGGGAGAAACTGAGGGTTGAACCACTGCCAGTTCAGATTCCAATCGGGGCTGGTCGAGAATTAGAAGGAATAGTAGATATAATTGAACAAAAAGCTTATTATTATTCCCAATTAGGTAATAAGGAAAAAGCCAAAGAAGAGGAATATCAAATAAAAGCAATTCCATCTCATTTAGTAGCAAGAACTAAAAAATACCGGCAAGAATTAATAGCAAAGATAGGAAAAATAATTGAACAAGAACAGAACGAGGAACTACTTCTAAAACATTTGGGAGGTCAAGAATTATCAGCCACGGAAATCAAAAAATTATTGCGTCAAGCCACTTTAACCGGGGAATATTTTCTGGTATTTTGCGGTTCGGCTTATAAGCATGTGGGTGTGAAATTGCTTTTGGATGGGGTAACCGATTATTTGCCTTCTCCATTAGATATAGGTGAAATACCTGTTTTTTCACCTCAAAATAAAAACAAAACAGGCTCAGTCAACTGCAATAGTCCCTTACCTTACTTAGCCTTGGCCTTTAAAGTTATATTCGACGATCGTAATCAAAGGGTAACCTTTATTCGAGTTTATGCGGGGAAAATTTCTGCTGGGTCTCGCCTTTATAATGTTAATCAAGGGGAGATAGAAACGGTAAGTAGTTTGGTGCGAATGCATGCTGACAATAAAGAAAAAATTGACGAGATAGGTGCTGGTGATATTGCTGCTATAGTCGGTTTAAAGTATACTGTTACTGGAGATACTTTTAGTGAAAAAAAAAACCCTTTACTACTCGAAGCCATTAGTTTTGCCGAACCAGTGATTTCCCAAGCCATTGAACCTAAAACTAATAAAGACCAAGGAAAATTACGGGATGCACTGGAACGACTAAAAATCCAAGACCCTAGTTTCAAATACTGAATAGACCGAGAAACCGGACAATTAATTATTGCGGGAATGGGCGAACTACATTTAGAAGTTTCGGTAGAAAGATTACGCCAAGAAAACAGGTTAGAAATAGAAAGAAAACAGCAAAAAGTATCCTACCGAGAAAGTATTACTAAGAAGTTAGAAAATGTGGAAGCGCAGTATAAAAAACAAAGTGGTGGAAGTGGACATTTTGCTAGAATTTGGATTAATTTTGAACCAAATGAAGGAAAGGGTTTTGAATTTGTTGATAAAACCTCGGGTCAAGGAATGGATAAAAAGAAAGGCGAAGTAGAGGAAGTGCGAAAGGGTTTAGAAGAAGCAATGTCCTTTGGCTTGCTGCTAAACTACTCTTTGCTAGATTTAAAGGCTATTTTAATTAAAGGACAAAGGCATGAAGTAGATACCAAGCCAGGGGATTTTAAAAATGCGGCCATTTTAGCACTGCGAGGTGATGGAATGGAGGAACGAAAGAAAAGAATCCAAGAACTGGGTGTGGCTCTATTAGAACCAATCATGCAAGTAGAAATAATAGTTCCTAGAGATTATATGGGGGATGTCTTGGCTGACCTCGGTTCACGGCGAGCCATGATTGAAAATACCGAAGAAAAAGAGGGTGCGGTTTATATTAATGGCGAAATTCCGTTGAAGGAAATTCTTAGTTATTCGGTTACTTTACGGCAATTGACTAAGGGTCGAGGAGAATACTCAATGCATTTGATTCGTTATCAAAAAGTTCCCGAAAATGTCTTAGAAGAAATATTAAAAGAAGAAAAATTAAGATTATAAAATATATTTAAAGATGGTTGAAAAAGTTTAAAGGATAAAATTATAATAAAACATAAACACACATATATATATATATATATATAACATATGAATCAAAAATTAACTAATATTGAACTCGAAAAATGAAGTAATTTTTACTTGGATTATTTTAAGGAAGTAATGAATGCTCCTGATTTTAAAAATGTCTCGGCTCCTGAACAAGAAAAGAATAAAAAAATAGCCAGTTTGGTTTATTCACAAATTAAGTTTGGAAATACCTTAACCATTCTTTTCTTTGTCGATAACCTACTTGCTTCGTGCAAACTCCAACCCGATAATGTTCGTGCCACTCGTTCACCTAAATTTGACAATTTAACTGCTGAGGAATGATTAACTAAGATCAAAAAAAGAGTTAAAGAGCATCATATAGCACGTGGTTATTACAACCCAAACAGTCCTCTTCCTTTGAGTGTTTTTAACCAAAAAAATAAAAATTTCCACTCTGAGCAAAAAATGGATAAATTATTGGCTCAAATGAGTGAGGAAGATCGGAACTTTGTTTGAAATTTTCTCCATTTTGTCACTTTGTTAAAAGAAATGAATCCAACGATTGACTTTTCTGCCAGCAAGGAGTTAAGCCCAGAGGAATATGAAGCTGCTGGATTTCTTTTGGAGGACTTAATTAAAACCATCGAAACCGCCCAAAAGAAATTAGAACAAAATAATGCCGCTTCTTCCTCTGACTTAACCGATAATGAAAGCGAAGAATTAATTAAAAAAATGGTTACGGATAAGGCTCAGTTAAAAATCCAAAAAGAAAAAATAGAAAACAAAACTCCAACCAACGATGCAGAGAAGGTTTTCCGAGACCAATTATTAGCCGAAAATGCTCAGGAAATGGAGGAGCGAGACAAAGAAATAGCCAGATTAAAAAAACAAAAACCTACTAATACTGAAACCGGTAATAATAAACTAAATTGAGCGATTGGTTTAGGAATTGGAGCAATCGCAATTGGTCTGATTTGCCTAATTTTACTTGCTGGTCGCCAAAGAGAAAGATAGTTAATTATCAAAAAAATTAGTATATATTACATTACCATTTTTCATAATTCTTGATTTTGATCCGTTTTTCGGTAATTAAAAATTAATTCGACCAATAGGCAGAAAACAGAAACTGAATTTGAAAAATAGCATCAAAAAATTAAATGGAAAAAAAAGAATTACAAAAATTGGCTCAGAAAGTCCAGTTAGAACTCAATGAAAACGAAGTACTTGCTTGTTTGGAGACTTTTGCTCACTTGGAAAAATTGCTCAGCAATTTTAAAAAAGAGCAAGTAGGGAAGAGAACCAAACCGATGGCTAGAATTAAGGTCGGCCACCTGACTTTGAAGGACTTAACTAGGCTAAAAAAACAATTTTCTCAGTCAAGAATTAGTAGAAAAGACCAGTCAAAAAATTCTCTGAACACCGAGGATGGTTTTATATTATTTAAAAAATAATCCTTTTTTCTCGCCGCATCATATGGGTGGTATTTTTATTCTCATTTTAAGTAGAGTTTTTTATTTCTCTTACCTTAATATTAACAATTTTTACTAAAAACTTATTAAAGACTAGGAGGTGTGGCCGAGCGGTTGAAGGCGGTAGTCTTGAAAACTACTAATACTTTTGTATTCAAGGGTTCGAATCCCTT